AGATGTTAAGGAGCAGCTCAGCACTGTCTGGAGACCTCCAAGGAAAACTGGTAAATGGTGTTGGTGGACAATTAGGTGATTATTTTCTCTCTGGCCCAAACAAGAAAAACTGTGCTGTACTGTAGGTGTTGCCATTTTTTTTAGAAAAAAATAGATCAAGGATTCCCAAGCCTGTTGACTCACACACCTGTTTGTTATTATTGCAGCCAAGCCCTCACTTACACAATCAAACCCTTCAGTAATAATAATAATAAAAATAATAATAATAATAATAGAAGAGGAGGAAGAGCAGAACAAGAAGCAAAATCCCGAACTTGTGACTACTACCAAAATGCAAATATTCAATTGAAGAAACTTCTTATATCATGAAAGGCTTCAATTATCTAACAAATGTGGGATGGAATGAAAACCAGCAGGTTTGTGGATCAACTGGATCAGGATTGTGACCCCCTGCATTAGCCCAATGTCCCAGATGCATTATTCAATATGATACACCGATCATAAGAGTTGGTGTGTTAATCTGTCTTGGCAAAATTCTTATCTACACTTAATAGGTGTTCCTCTTTAATTCAGTTATTTCTCACTTCCTAATCTGATCTGCAATTGTAAAGTGGTGGCACTGTGGCTAAGGATCTGTGCCTGTGGCTGGAAGGTTGCTGGTTCATATCCTGTGGCCGGCAGAGGAATCCTACTCTGTTGGGCCACTGAACAAGGCCTTTAACCCCAACTGCTCCAGGGGTGCTATACAATAGCTGACCTTGTGCTCTGACCCCCAGCTTCCCTGTGTGTCTTGTGGAGAGCAAGTTGGGGTATGTGAAAACATAAATTCCTACTACAAGAAATTGTACTGTATATGGCTAATAAAGTGATCTTATCTCTTATCTTATGAAGCTGCTGACACATAGTAGCTATCATGTGTCACCCAAATAGGCTCTGCACTTCATGTGTGGATGAAATTGGTTCTTTCATATATGTAAATTGCTGAAGGAAAAGTACAAATCCAACAAATTCTTAAAATAGAAATATAGTTTTTCTTGTAATGCTAAGTTGTGCCACATAAACTTGGTAAATAGAACAAGAATGAGAAATTAAGAATTAGTGTAAGAGAGAAAAACCCATTGTTAAACTATACTTTTCAAGTAATTTTTCCTTATGATAGTTGAATATTTAAAATTGTAAGTGACTCAGACATAGTGTGAAGTAAAATGTAATTTATACACCGCAGTTTCAAGGCTTAAACATGGTTGAATTAAAAAAAAAAACTTTCTTCCATTTTCAAATCAAAACTAAAGAAAATAGTTACAAAACTGTGCCTGAGTTGGTGCTTCTTGCTCTTTTTGTATTCTTTGATTTAGTTAATATTTGTCAGCGTGTTCTAAAAGAGCCGGCTTGATAGATTTCAGCTCTGGCTTGTCTAAAGGTTAATGCAACCCCATGTTGTAAGAGCAAGGTCACAGAATAAAAAAACACTGGATGATGCTCCAATCCTCTCTCAGGTCCTGGTTTTGAAATTTGTAGTTAAGTTCAATGCTGTGTTAACAAATAGAGTTGCCAAACACTGTAGTGGAGCAATATAGTAACAGAGAGAACCAAGAAGCCTGGTATATTGCATTTGTAGTGCAGTTTTAATGAGACAATTGATTACTTAAGGGCTATGCATTTTGTGAAACATTATCTCCTGCTGCAGTTATACCAAAAGACTGGAGTTTTTAACGCTCACTAAATTGTTTTTAAGCAGAACTCTGAAATAGAGGTCTCTTGCAAGTGTGCATCTTCAAGGCTGCTGTTTGTTTGATATTGCTTCTAGCAGCTAGCTAAATAGCTTTTCTGATGTAATGGAGACCCAAGTAGTACAGGGATGCTCTGCCAACTACAATCTCTAACATATATACCCCCAGCAGGCAAGGGATAAGCATGCTTTTTCTCCTAACATCATCATGCAATTAAAACAGTTTCACAGAGACAATTATATGATTACTATAGTGTCAGACATTCATTGTCTGTGAATATAGCTCATCAGGGAGCAGGAATAACAAATTATATAAGCCTACTATGCTAAAGCTATGTTTTTTAAGCTTTTTAAGCTGCCAAACTGGACAATCTGGTCAGCAGAGACTGCTTCTCCCTGTGGTTAGTGCTTCTCTAGTAGCTCTGAGTGATGTCAAACAGTTGGATGGTAGCCTTGACACCAAACCCTTGTGCTGAACTAGAACTCCATGCAAGAAGATGTCTTGAAAATGAGTGCATTATCCTGCAAGCTTACAATTGACCAATTCCAATAAGAGATCAATGATACTTAATAATTGTATGCATGTTTTACACATTTTGTAAACTGCTGCACTGCAATCATATGCAGATGTTAATAACCCATTTATAACTTCAGTGATTTCATGGATGTTCCAAATGTTATGTGGACTTTGTAACAACATAATGCTTGCATAGTGAAACAGACAAAAAAGAGAAAATGTAAAGTACAAATGAATAAAGGTAGTAAATGATACATTTGCCTCCTCTGCTTTAGGGTTTCAAAGTAATATTATACATTTCCACTGATGGTTCTGAAAAGTCACTGAGTGACTTTGGTAAACCGACATATTGTATGCAGTTTTTCAAGGGTTGAGAATATGCAAAGCGAAGGCTCTACTGTAACTGCAAGGTTCAGAGAGTTCAGCACTTGGCCCGTGTTACTGTATATGAGAAACACAGTTCACGAAACCACATAAAATGCATTGCTGTTTTAAGATTGGCCATGTAGGTCATTTATTTTCCAGTGACAAAAAAGTTAAAACATTCCAGGGCCAAAGATACAGTTTTGACACAGCTGGATTTGCCAAACAGATATCTTGCTGGGTTCCACTGTAAATTTAATCAAGGAGTCATCTCAGGGGGTATGGCACAAGAAAAGAGAACCCAACATAATGTGGCCATCTGTTGACAGATGGCAGCATCATTTTTACAGTCAACAATTGTTGGGAGGCACATCGTAAGACAGAACACCCCCAGGCACAATTCATCTTGTTTTCCACCAATGCCAAAAACTGAAATGCAACTAAAAACACATCTGCAATAAAGAGTACTTGAGAGTGCAGTCTTTGCTTAGGATGCCTGTTTCTCGGTTTTCAAACGTGATTTCGTAGCAAAAAGGCACTTGATTTGTTTTAATGTTAGGAAACACTAAACGGCATGACCAAAATCTACACATAGCTTGTCTGATTCATAAACCAGAAATGTGTACAGCTTAAATAAAAGAATCATTGAAGAAAAAAATACCTTTATCATGGTATGTTGGGGGTAATATTTACAGCTTACATGCAAGATATCCACATACAGTATCTCATGTTCAATACCTACCTGTATTATGTCAGAGCCATGAGGTTTTCCTATAAGAAATCATGTCACATCCAGACAATTGTTTTAGTAGTTCGGAAAATAGCGCCACCTTCTTGCATCTTACTTTGTGCCACATTTGCAAAACAACTGAATAGTTTTGAAGACCATTTACAGTACGTTCAAAATTTCCTTGAGAAGGATCAGTCAATCCAAACAATTAAATCTTATAAAGATAACTGGAAGCTAAATTATATTTTTTTCTTCCAGTGTCCTTTCTTTTATTGGAAAAATAGTCCAAACCCTAAGAAGCATCGTTCGAAATATACCTATACATATAGTGTAAGCTCCTGCACTAATGAAAATAGCAGCTTGTATACAGAATAAGGGATCTTATGACTTAAAATTCACTCTGGAATTCTGTTATTTGATGGCAATCTCCATCTACTTAAGAAATGTAGGTACCTCTACACTTCACCCTAAAATAACCTTTGGGTATCATTTATGAAATAATCATGACCTGGTATACACAGTAAAATGCGTATCTGAGGAAAGATCTGACTATAGATATTGATTTGTATTCAGTTTTTATCAACTTGGACATTACAAAACTTGCATGCACTTCACAATACGATTTATAGTTTCAAATTAAACACTGCATGATTTTTGATACAGTACTTCTTACTCTCCTAATGTGCAGATAAAGTCGGATTCTGATCACCGCTAACTCTTCGAGCGCTCTGGTGAACTTTGTTCTGAGATACAGAACTTTCCTGACCTCGCTTGGCATTCAGCAGAACTGCAACAGCAACTCAACTCAAACGTGTCCCTTTTTCCTAATTTTAAATACTTTTTTTTCTGGATCCGGACAGTCGCTGTTGCCTATACAGTGTATGTCTCCCGACGTCCATCGTGCGATAATCGTAGTTCTAAGAAATATTGAGTCATTACACAGAAAATTCAAGGCGAAATCTATTATACACTTACACGTCGAACCTGAAATTTTACAATCCCCCCCCCCAACACACACACACACATTTCACTTTTTGATGGGGTGAACTACAGTTCTGTATATTGTTACATAATGCACTGCGCAGGTCTGCACATCAGACTAATTTACAAACTACAGTAAGTGTGGCGAAGAAAAGTGAAATATTACACTTCAGTGCCATGACGGTGGGAATCTCAAACTCCACTTTTGAATCAAAACTTTTACGGTTTTCAAGTGTCAAATACTGTGCCCTATTATTCTATGACTTTTGTTACAAGACACACTATAATAAACGCATGACATCAGTTGGAAAGTAAATATCAATTGATTTAACATTTTTACATTCCTCTGTTATCGCAAAACACATTCCTTAGAATGCGATATTGACAAGTAATTTCGCTTTAGGCCAAATGTAGCTAATACCGACTATTCCTTAAAATGTTGACAGTACTACACACAAAAATGTCCGATTTCATTTTAAGTGAAGTTAAATCATATGCGTCCCACATAACTGTCTAGAGTTGTCGAAATAAGATTAAGGTGGAGAGGAAGAAACTTTGTTACCGTAGAAAAATAAGCCTTCACACTTTAATTGTGACGTCATTTACACTCCTGTTTCAAACTGTGACGTTGTCGGCGTTGCTGGGGTAATAGCAGCTCTTTGTTTCCAGGGTAACGTAAACAACGAGAACAAGGTCCGACTTTGAAAAGGGCGAAGAAAGAAAAACAGTATTAAGCGAGGGTCGAACCCTTTATAGTTCTGCTAAAAGGCGTTTTGTTAGAATTTTTGATCGAGAAAGGGATTTCCCATTCAAGGTAAGAAACATTTTATTTTATTAAAAAAATACAAATTCAGACTAAAAGGCATACCCCCCCACCCCCAAAAAAAAAACAAAACACTAAACTACACTGCACAATTTAAACGCTTTAGTAACCTTTACTATATCTATATACTATATTACCTTTACTTCATCGGACATTACCTTTTCTGATTCCCTGTAACAATCCCTACATGAGAATGACAATGCATTCTGCTCTCTTGTTAGAGCGCCTTCATTTCCTGGTATGTCTAATGAAATTGTATTAGTCTACGCTGCACTACACTGCCTTGGCTTTTATCTAAAAAAAAATACATTTGACCCCTTTACACTACTGGATATTTTTGAGGAGAAGTGAAGTTGCCCTGGAGTATAAGAGCAGCATCTCAACTTCTACTCCACAGTACTCCCAATGCTCTCTGTCACATATACACAGATGGTACGTATACCCAGTATCTAGTTAGAGTGTCCAGTTTTTGTACAAGGATTTGCATTTGTTTTTTTTGTTATTTAAAAAAAAAATGTTAAAAAATACCCTGAGCCTGAAAAGACAACTTCTCAAGGTTCATACAGTCAGAAAAGCATTGCTCTTCCTTCTTAAGTGGCTATTCAATACAATACTTTATTTAGTTCAATAAATATGACTTATTAAACTATACTTATTTTACTCTTGGGCACTGATTAATCATTGCAAGTAGTAAGGATTCCAAAGGAATTACATGAGTTCTCACATAGGGAAGACCACACTTTTCTATGAAACTCCCTCACCGTACTCTGCAGGACAGAAACCTGCCTTGTTTCCATTCTGATTCTCCTAGACCACACCCAGGTTCCATGATGTCATCCCCGTCATTAGCCCCATCCTCTCCAGGATCTCCAGAAACCGTAGCTTCGGGGAAGCTGTCAAGTAAGCCCTTTCAGCAGAAGTACAGTTGTGATTTTTTTTTCTCTCGAGATTTTTTAAAAATTTGTCTGCTTGGAAATGAAGATCAAGAGTGGCTGCATTGTTCTGCTTGTCTGAGTTACTGGCAAGGGTCTGAGGTCTGGGCTTTGACCTCCAGGGGGTTCCAGGACATGGGGTTCTGAGCGTGTGCCCCAGTTTTTCGATGTCCTAGCCACTGGAACCATGACGTTGTGAATACAGTCAGCTTATGCTGTTACATGCAAATACAAAATGTGCATATTCTTCTGTTTTGTCTGTGTAGAACTATATTAATTGTGGCTTTAGGGAGTTTCATTGTATAAGCTTTTAGAATAAGGACATTATTAGTGTTTTCTTTACCTCTGTGTGTGATGCTACAACAAGTGTACATTTTTTTTTGCTTGAAGTTGGATAGAACTAGTGTAAGTAAAAGAAGTTTTAGAACATGAAATACACCACATGCTTACTGATAAAATGGACTTAGAAGAAAATGCATCCTTGCATCCTTAAATGCATTTTGTACAGGAAATGCCATTCTATGAGCTGTGAATCTACTTTGATAAGAATTTTTTGTCTTACAAAGGGGCACATACAACGTTGTTGCGATCTGGTACAGCATCCTTAAATCCCTCTGAGAAGTCAGGCGTGGAAACAAAGTCTGTAGTCACAGGTGGGATCCATCATTTTACAGTAAATAAACTTAACAAAACTACAATCATTAAGCAGACATATTTAGCAAAAGTAACATATAAAGGATAAAGGGACTGGACTGTGTATTGACAACTGTCGCTGCAGGGTCACCTGGATTTAGAGATATGGAGATTGTGCTTAAGTGAATATTACAGGCCTTCAGTATTCAATTCAGCTGGCTTTTAAAATAGGCTTGGTATGAACTTTCCTCTATAGAACATTATTTTAAAATGGATCTCTATCGACAATTTATAAATACAATTATCTCAGAAAAATTATCTGCCATAAGTAAATATAAATATAATTATAAATATAAAAGGAATACAGCTACTGTTTTTTTAATGAAGATGTACTGAAGCATGTCTTCATACTGTTTTTATTTAATGACCCACCTCTGTTTGTTACAGTTCCAGAAGATGATAACCAGGTCAACAAAAATCCCTTCAAACTTCCTGCAGATAATGATATCTTCCTCCTAAGGGACAAGGAAAGAGAACGCATGAAGCTTGTAAATGAAACTGATCTTTGTATATTTCTAAATATTTAATATAAACTATATTTAGAAACAAATGCATGTTGTTCTGAATGGAGAAGAGATTGCTAAAGCTGCTATTGGCCAATTTGTGATACAGTTGTTTGAGAGGATACTGTTGATACCATGCTACAGTAGATCGATACAATTATAAGCCTCAGAGCTGAAAATGTCAGCTTTTTTTTTTCAATGTCACAATATACCCTATTGGATCTGAATTGGTTCTTCTAAAACATGTCTGCACTGACTGAACAATCAGGGAAGAATGAGCTTTGTGAGTGATTGCTTCTGACTATTGAAATACAGGTATTAAATTGAATAAAAAAACTAAGGGAAAAATCCAATCCCAGGAGTAGGGAGGAACATTTCCTTTAATACTGGAATGCACCTGGCCACTTATTTTTGGAAATATAGTCGAGCACTCTACAAATATGTTACTGGAGAAAAATGTGGGAAAACAATGACATTTCATGAGTGATCACTGATACAGGACAACTACAAATTCTGTTATCACTTTTCAGTACAGCAACATTAATATGTGTCCAGCAGCAACTATGACTCAGCAAGCCCTGGTTATTTTTATCAACACATCAAAAGTTTACAAACCAGCAAATAAGAAAAAGGCATCAAAGGCAAGAACTTATCTTCAAAGCCCTTCTGATCTCTCTCTATTTGTAACCTATGGTTGTCTGATCTGAGCCCAGATAGCTTGAAATATCAATATAAGAGATCAATATCTGTGTTGCATAGAACTATTACTGAAAACATATAAAAAACACAGGTTTCTAAACCGCAAGAAACGGTCTGAAACAAACTTTGCTTCATTTGTGGAGAATAAAAAGCCTATTAAATATGTCTCTCAAATTCCCTCCTTGCTTAGTATCTTATGAGTTTGACTACAGAATTAATTTTCATCCTCAGGTGCGTGAGCAGCAGAAGAAGCTTAAAATCCATGAGAAAACCACCTACGCTGGTCGAATGAACACCAAGAGGGTGGAGACGAGGCGTGCAATGAAGGAGGGAGAAGAAATGACAACGAAGGACAAAAATGAGAGGGAGGCACTGCTTGCTCTCAAAGATGATCCAACGTGGAAACTGGCCATGACAAGAGGTTTGGTACAGTATCTCCGTAAGACAGGGGTGTCCAGTCCTGCAGGCAGGTAGTGTCTGTAGATTTTCATTCCAGCTCGGTTCTAAAGAGAAGCAAATTGTTAAGTTCCTACCAGCTCATCAGGTGCTGGTATTTTAAAGAGATCATGAAAACCACAAAATGGGCTCTAGAGGACCAGGACTGGACACTTCCACCTATAAGATAATATCCAACAGCCCAATCAACAGGCAGGTATGCTTTCTAGGTTTTGCTCAAATGTACTGTGTATTGCAATAATGTACTGATTTATCCTGAAGTATCACATACCGTGAGGATCTAGCAACAGCTATAGACATGTGGAGGCCACCTGGAACATCTAACAACAGGGTCTATAACTCTGGTCCTGGATAGCCAAAGTCTGGAGTGCAATGTACTGTAGGAGCCTGCGTGTCTGAAAGGAGTTAAGGCAAGACAAAAATTGTCTGAAGAGCTGCCAAAAATCAGTTTGGCTGTGTACACAGAGAAGTAATTCTCAATTCTTAGTAATTCGGTGTGATTCTCATTCTCAATTGGAAATATAAAATTAGAAAAAGAACCGTATAAGTAATTTGTCAAATAAGCTTCAAGAACTTATAATACAGAGATAATATTACAAAATAATGACATATTCCCTTTTCAGATCGCAATATAGAAAGAGAAAGCATAAATGAATTTATTTCAAAGAAAAGAGAGATGTTTCTGTTACAGGTAAGGATGATCTTCATTATTAGTCCCCATATTTCTTTTGCCAAATACAATACTATGAGTTCTTACACAACTGCAGTATATTTTATTTCCTTTCACTTATGCCCAGCTATCTGTAGGAAAACATAATCCATTTAAGCTTGCATATTAACAGGATCTAGCTATTTACAGCTAAGAGGGGGTGTGCTTAAAATAGTCTCTTCAGGACTTCAATTCTGATTCCAGTGCCATCTAGTGTTTCCTGACACCACTGGATCAATAAAAAGAAACAGTATTGATTTTCTTCCTTAAAATGATACAAAGCGCAAAAGCAAAGAAGGTTAAAAAGCCCCAGAAATAATCTGTATAGAGTAGACTGCAATACAGAATTATCAGAGGATACATTTACTTTATGCACTTCTGTTACATTTTCATGCTGACTTATTTACAGCAATGAAAGCTTTACCTTTGAATTTATATAAGATATAAGTAAGTTTTTTGAAACAGAAGACTGCTTCGTAATTACCAACGCACAAATGGTTTTTAATATGGTAAAAACTGTAAATCAAAACTCCCTTCCGTTTTATATTATCATACAAGCATTCCCTTCAGCAAGGGGCTTTAATGAAAGACCATTAATACCATTTATTTCAATCTAGCCTAAACGAAATTAGTAGTCGTTTTTGAATACTCGAGGCCTTAATTAAACACCCTGTGTATTTCACTCTAATTAATGCAATAAATTAATAATTAATTTATTGTCCCCTCAGGTCATTATAGTTAAAATAAAAAGTTATGAACAGAAGTGTGCAATTGCATCTTCCTGATAAAATGAAATGTGTAATTGTTTACCACCATGCCTGCGTATCATGGTTTGTGATAAACACAACAAATCAAAGAAAACAGTTTTTCAGTTACTAAATTCAAGGGCAGTTTTCACAAAAATGAGTTATTTCATTGTAGGGATACAGTACATGGGGGAAAAAAGCGTTCTCTGTCACCCCATTAATCACCAAAAAAGAAAAGAGAAAGCACAGAAATCACTTTGGTTGGAGCCCACAAGTAAAACTGCGTGACTCTCAATGACGGCCACCTGAATTAACTTAAATTTGGAATTCTTGGAAAACAGTAATCATCTCTTCTCCATGCTTGTTTACCTGCAGTACTCCTTGGCAGTTAAGAGGGATGAAATTCGCAAACTGGATGAGGTGGCTGCAGCTGAAGAAAGCAAACTGGAGAAGGCTGAGCAATTCCTTGAAGATGACGCTGCCATGTTTGACGAGTTTCTGAAAGAGAATGACAAAAATTCAGTGGAAGCCATCAAAATGTAACATTCTAACATTCAATTTCAACAAGTCATCATTCCTCCAGTGATAACCCCTTTAAAAATATTGTTTTACTCATGTTTTACTAAGGAAAATGACAGAATTCCTTTTACTAAAACTCACTAGCTATGAGTAGACTATAAATGACACAGTTTAGAAGGAACACATGCATAATTCATATGAGTTTGTTCATTAATAATTAAAATTGCAGACACATGACAATTTTCCTGATATTTCAAAACATTAACCCCTTTTCACCAGTTCGTTGGCAAATGTTCACCCCTAACAATGTTTTTCAGAATAAAGTACAGTAGAGTAGGTAACTAGAAAAAAAGGCTTTTAGAGATTGAAAAAGTGTTCCTAAAAATAAAGAAAATACAGTCTTTATTCTTAACCTGTCCTTCGCTCTATTTGTTGATTCACTGGCTTTAGCCACTGAATTATAGAATCAATTTGTTTTGTTAGGTCTTGACACATAATATGCTTTGACTGCTTTCGGCTATTATCTTGTCTTTCAAGTGCAGAGCAAGAGGCAAAAGTGAAACTGGAGAAGGTCGCTGAAAAGAAAAGGCTTTCAGCAAAAATTGTGTCAATTAAGAGGTAAGAGTAAGAAATATGAAAAAGGTTAACTTTTATCATGGGATTTCTAGTTTCTACATTCATGGATCAGACATGACAAATTTATTGAAACACATTTGATTTACTTTTTTGAAGTACTTGTAAAACAGCAAAAGTGTAACACGGCAATATGAGGCCAAGCTAAGTATTTACTGTACATGGTCATTTTGCCACACTTTTTGAAAAAGACCACCACCTTATGTTACACAATCACAATGAAGCTTTAAGCAGTCTAGAGCGAGAAACCCTGATATCCTGGTCTGATTTATGCAATACTTTAACTTCACTGTATTTTGTTTCTAATTTTTTAAAATTATTTCTTAAAAGAAGAATATAGGATTGCTGGCACTTTTCAAATATGGCTTACTGAGCAATTGTACCCCTTTTTCTGCAAGAGTGAAACATGCAAAAAAAAAATAAAGATCAGACCTATTTTGGGTCATAAGGCCTGAAACCCCCAGTTTGTTTGTTTCTAAGTGTTGACTTTTGCTCAAAGTGACATTTCGAAGTATGAGGATATCCTGAAGGAATACATGACGTACAAGGAGTTTCTGCTGAAGCTTTCTCCCAAGGAGTGGCAGCAGAAATATGAGGAAAAGCATCGGAAGAACAAGCAAGCCAGAGCAGAGCTCAAAAACAAGGAAGTGAGAGCCACACACTCTGATAAGCGTATGTTTTCTTGCTACTCAGGATTTCCACCTTTAACTGTAACTGAACTATTTGGATAATACAACAACTTTTTTTTTAAAAGAAGCATAGCCTGAAGCTAAAGGAGCCATCCATTCAGATAGGCATTGTATTTTGTGCCAATTAATACCAAGTGGCAGCCTTAATCAAAACCCCTTTATTTCACCCTCTACTAGATCTGACAAATGCAAACATTTCTGTAACTCAAAACAACTGTAAATAGCATTATAAAGTTCAGATGGAATAAAATTTGAATTACAGGAAATCGTTAGCAATATGGCACTGACACCCATCAGAATGAGTCAGAACAGGCTTGTTCCTGTCACAGTGCCTGTGTGAGGGAAAAAAAAAAACGTAAAACATAAACAAATGAGGAATATAGGCTGGTTCATGGTTCCTCTGTCTGCTCACTTCAAGGCATGGACAGCAGGTCTTCGAACGTCACACAGCAAGGGGGGAGAGAGGTAACATCCGTGAGGGATTCCAGGATGTCTTCAAGACACAGTCTTAAACCCTCTTCTTCCAGTAGGAAATTGTGAGTGTTCAGAAGAGTCCTGCTGTTTTTTGTCTTCCAAGAACAAATTTGTAGCTTTTCACAGGCAAAATATCTGTCTTCTTCTAGTTCCAAATGACCTCCAATTCATTTTCCTATATTGCTTAGACAGATATTAGAAAAATCTTAACTTAATTCTCGGAGCTTTTGCAGATTCTGCATATTCTAAAAGGTGCAATCAAAACATCCAATGATGCTGCACAAATATTGTGAAAACATAATAAATCACATGTAATATGTCATTTGAGGTGTGGTTTAATTTTTTTTCTCTGCATCTTAACCATGTCGCTGTGAATATACCCTGAAAAGGAATCTTATATTTCAGGAGTTCAAGATCCCAGATAGATGAAGACAACTCATCTGATGATGACGACGAAGTCAGTTTTTGTTTCTTTTATTATTGTAAAATGATGTTTGTGAGGCTCAGCAACAATTGCACAATGACCTGCTGCTAAATAGACAACCCCTGGCCTGGATTTCTTACGGGGTTGATACAATCAGCATATCAGTTGAATGAGAGTCCTTTAAGATATATGAAATCATAAATAATTCATCATTATAACTGAACTGTGTGTTGTCATACAATACTTGTTTGCATTCCTTGGTTTGTTGAAATCCCTAGGGGAAGAAAGGTACCTTGTTTTTTAGACGTCTTTGGAAGCTGAGTGTTTGAAGACTAGTCCTTGCTGGGTTGTGTTCTTTGAATCAGTTTGGATACCAGTCAGCCCACTGTGGTCTCACTGAGTCTGCACTTCCCCCAGGAGCCAGAGCTATATTTCACCGAGCCCCAGCAGCTGCTGGACATCCTGACTGAACTGGAGGAGCAGAACCTCTCTCTCATTCAGAACTCGCGCGAGACAGAGGAAGCCCTGGAAGAGTTCAAGCACACCATGGTCAACACCCAGAAAAAGATGTAAGTCTCTCTCTTCCTCTGGGGGGGCCAAGTAAATGTCCCTCTCCTATTTTTCTGAACAATTTAACCATTAACAATACACAAGACTCAAACTGATCTCAAGCATCAGATAACCTTTAGAACTGTACAGGGTAACTAGTTCATGTACTTTAAAACTTATAACCTGCAGTATATTGTTATACTTTATCTAGATAGAGAATTGCATGCATTAACACATGTTCAATGAATTCCTGAGTTCATTGAAGATTAATTTAATGAATTCTTGGAAATTCATTAAATATGTGTTAATGCATGCAATGTGCAGACATTGGACTCTAATACTTTGATAATGTGATATGATCTTTTTTATTTTATTTAGATTTTGTTCTTAAGTATACATTGTTCTGAACATACAGTAGGTCTTCTGCATCACTGAATTCATCCAGTAGATGACCTTTTGGGATAAACTATGAAATGACAACACATCCTGTAACCACAGTCATTTACATAAACTAGGGTGCGATGATTTATTGTCATTTTACACAGACAGATCAGTAAATTCACTAAAGACACTTGGGAAAAACCGAGACAATTTGTTCTCACTAATGAGAGAGGGCACATGATACAATAAGCCTCCCCAAGCAGAATTCACTCTTATTTGTGCTCAGAACTAAATGAAAACAACACACATACGCAGAGTAAAAAGAATATTGGATTATTCTATCTAAACCATATTGTTCAATTTTGGTTTACCAGGGATCAGGAGACCGAAATCCTAAAGCAGCAGATAGATATTCTAAAACAAACCATTGAGCGAGAGAAGGAACGGGCAGCAGAGCTGGAGCTTAAAGCCAGATTGTTCTCCTTCGGCCAATACAAATCGGAAGACCAGGTAACCCGTTGGATCGCAAAAGAGTTTGACATTCCCATGGCCAAGGATCAAGACTGTCCTAATAACAGGATACATGTGAACTCTTTATTTTCAGCTCCTGAACATGTTGGAGGTTGTATTCAAACACCACCATTACATTCCATGACTTGCCATCTCCAGCTTTAAACATTGCGAATGTTCAAGCTAAGCAAGTTGTTTAAATGGATTCATTTAAAATGGTATAAGATAATGTGAACGGTTCCAAATGTGAGGAGGCACTTCGTTGTTTTTTTTTACTCTATTGATAAATAGTAGCTTCTAAACACTTTGACAAGGATCCAAGCAAAGCA